CAAAATTTATAGTGCTTGTGGAGTGATTTTCGTAGATTGCCTCTTGGTAGCCTCATTGGTGTGTAGTTCGTTGCAGCTCCCACGGCACGCATCCTGTCTTGCCAAATGATTCACTTGCCGCTATTTAGAGATGCGGACGCCACAGTGTAAGTAGAACTCAAAAAGTGCGCCTCCGCCTCGGGGTCACAAGAGAAAGGACGTCAGGTGATAGGCTAGCAATCAGTGCGATGCCTTTGCGCCTCCATCTGTTGGTAGTCGAGTCAACTTGTTCATTTTGTCACCAGTTCCGGCGACGACAAATGCCACCACTCTGCTCATGTTTCCGAAATGTTCCGTCTTATTTTTAAAGGTTGCATCGCCTGGCAGCCATGTGCCTCTACAAGATCCAACAGAAAGGATGATGGGACGGTACTGAATGATAGTGCTCAGGCTTCCCAAAGCAGCCTGGTTATATCAACTACACGCTCATGTTTGGCGCCGGTCTCATGTTCAACCGTCACGACAAAGGTTGTTGAGGCCGTGTCAACTGGAACAGTCATTAATGATGCCTTCTCCCTCGGCCGCACGGACGATGAGGCCGTACCCACAACAAAAACCACCGAAACCAGCCGAATAGCTCTCCTGACGCTCCGGAGAAAGGCTCTGGTCGACGAATTGAGCCGACTTCACCTCGAGTTGCTTCACTCGCTTCGAGCAGAATGGGTAAGTTGTCATGCTTGGCTCTGTTTTCTGTATCGGTGCGACGTATTAATTTTTTACCCGACGCTGACTGTCCACACATGTAACACGTAAAATGCATCTTTCCACGAGAGAGGGATTGGTTTGCATGTTCTAATAAAAATGTTTGTGGTCTGCCAGATAGCCTACGTCAAAGTCACAAAGTTAGATTTTTCCTCATTGCATGGGGACTTACATAAAGGAAAATTCAGATTTATTGACGAGATATGACTAATTATTCAGCGCCTTCAAGGCTATGACGCCTCCCCTCTCCACAAACAGACGACAAACGTACACTTGTGGGGAGATCAATGCTTTCTTTGTTTGCGAACTGCTTAGTGCTCTTTACTATAATGGAGTGCAACTTTATAGTACCGCTAGACGCATTGAATAGGACTTCACGACGAGTAGCACGTATCGAGGTACCTATGTATCAAGAAGTTTTTTCGGCAAGAAGAAGATTGGGTTAAACTGCAACTTCCCGTAGTAAACCTTCTGTTTCGTGTCCTGCCCAGAAATTGAGTCCGCAGTGGGTTCGTTCAATTTGCATCTTTATTCAGTCTATAGAATAAGGACAAGGTCGGCCGATAACTTACAGGGTCGTTAGGTTGCTTCCTGTTTGGGCGAAATGCGACCTGTGATCTGTGAGCTCCCTCCATCCAAAGACTGTCCGATGGGAATTTGTTCACTGGCATCATAAATATTCTCATCTGTTCGTTTAATATCCATTCTGTTCCTTTATTGCCGTACGACGACGCCGCTGGAGTATGTACCTGATAGGAAGTGGTCTTGATGGAAGTGTCGCCTGGGTTACTCGTCGATCTGAGCAACATTCGAGCATAAACAATGGTAGGCACGAATTAACACTTAATTTAGAAAGTGGGTAACTGTGGCGCTCGAGTGTATTTTTTATTTCTAATTTGCATCAGCAAGCGCACTCATTTGCCATTCACTCGCCCTCTCTCTCGATCGAGGATAACATAAGTCCGTCAAATAATCTTTGTGTACTCGAGTGAATTTGTACTTGATAATTCACCCATAACGTCCCGCGTAAGATACAACAGTGACTAAATAGGCACAAACCTCAACCAGCTCGTCTAAAGACAAAGTTTGATTCGCAAAGGTGACAGTTCCTGGATGAAAATCGGAGAAATGAAAGTAGCTTACCGCCACATGATTTGATTCATATTGACGTTTCAGAGAACTTGTCCGACTCTACGTTTTCAAAGCGTCGACTGTCACTATCGGTCAGCAATTTGAAAGACTGGCCAAACTTTTCGGCCTTGGCCTGATCCATCTTTTCTCCTTCGCTGTCTCGGCCCTCCTATGGATGTTTATGTGGCTTGGTAGTCGCTGGTGTTGCGCCTGGTCATCAGGAGAGCCATGACAGCGAACGAAAAAAACATCAATCAACCTAAGGCCGACAAGTTCAGCCAGTCATTCCAATCTCTGACCGACAATGACAGTAGACGCTTTGAAAACGACAGCCGGTCAAGCTCTCCGAAACGTTAGTGTTGATCAAAACTGGTTTCGGTGAGCTTGTTTAAATCCTCAAAACATGATCGGGATACGAGCGCGGATTCACGGACTGACAATGTTAAGATTTTCACACACGTTGTTCCCTATCGCAATACGAACTAGGTTTCAAAGAACGGGGGTGCTCCCCGTTTCCACACAAGTTCCAGTTCCAGAAATGAGGAAACCGTTACAGCCTTACATCCCGGTCCTGAATAAACTACTTAAACTACTGTTGCCAAACAGAATCCTGACGTCAATTATCAATACTGCAGCCAGTGATGTTAAACTCATATTAAGGCCTAAGTGTGGTTGCAGGCCACAGTGATTAAACTGCTCATTTGGCGTGAGATACATTGACCGTCAAAAAGTCCTCCGGAAAGGAGGGCACACGAACATATATCTGTCCAGCCAGGTAAAGACGGAAATGTATCGATTTCCGGTTCATTTCTCAAACATGTAATCGATACGAATCACCAAGCCGACGCCAAAGGGGCCTTTCAGAGTGCCTATGGGGCACTACCAAACTTCTCTAAAGGCCTACACCAACAGGTGTTAGTAACAGCCAAGGCAGTGGCTGTTCGGTTAACGAATCCAGCATCTTATTGTCCGAGGACGTTGGTACGGACAGTCTGTTTTCTCTGGCCGAACTCTCCCGCGCCCCCCAACCCCATCGTCCTCAACACTGATTCTGTCATGCAGGCTACATGGTAACAAAGAGTGTGGCTAACACTTCGCTTCCGACACATAAACCCAGTCCATAACTCACAAGTGTATTCGCTATAAACTTATAGCGACCAGATGATACCTAAATGGAAACATATTTGTCGGTTTACTTGTTAAGTATTTGCCTGCCAAGCAGTGAACTAAATCCGGTGGAAATTGTATCTGTATCCCCCTCGTAATGCAGGTGGCATTACGCAAAGAGCTAAGGGTACATTTTCCCATTTCCTAACGCTAACCTTAACTCTAACCCTGCCGTCAAACCTACCTTTAACCCTAACCCCGATTTCCCTGGAGTTTGACTCAAAGTTATCTGCATTTCGAGCCCTTCCTAGCCCCAAGTTCACACTCACTCTTTCCTTTCCCATATAGCAATACGCAATCCCACTTAAACTGACTGCAAGCACGATTGGATGTATTGACAGATCTGACAAGAAGTGAATTGGTGCATATTCATGAGTAGTAATCATGATTTCCTCTTTGTTTCGTGCTTTGTACGTCCCCCTAGCTCAAATACTTAATCTTGGGTGGTTTCTTTTACAGCCTTGACGAGGACCACTGTCTGGGCCTCAATGTAGACAGGCAATACATTTGTCAATTGTCCAGGTACACAGCCCGGGTGCAGGGTCCTATACTTGCACATGCGTTGAACCCCCTTC